GGGAGATCGGGGGAAGGAACCAGCCAATGGGAAGAAGGGCTGGCCAGGAGGGAGTCAGAGGGAGCAGGGATGGCCAGGGGAGATCGGGGGAAGGAACTGGCCGGCAAGAAGCAGGCCTGGCCGGGAGGGGGTCAGGGAGAGCGGGGCTGGCTGGGGGGAATTGGCCGGCAGGAAGTGGGGCTGGCCAATTTGTCTGTAAAAGCTTTTTTGTCTGTAAAAGCTTCCCTGGGAAGTCCATTTTCAAAATGCAATGAGATTGTGGGGGAAGAGAGCTGCTGGTTCCTATACCTTTAGTTTCCACAGAAAACCCAACCAATTATGCTATGTTATACCAGCCAATGAACATGTTATTTTTCATGCCATTAGGCCACAAGTACTCTTTTGTCAGTTCATTAGTCTCTCACCAACTCTAACATCCCAGGCCACCCAAAACCTCTGTTTCCCAGGTTGTCACAATTCTCTTCAGAACCATGCCTAGGATTGGAGCCGAGTTACATTTGCTAGAAAGCTGTCTAGAGCCACCAAGTCTACATGTAATTTTGAAATGAAGAAAATAATGTCTAACTGTGACAGACTTGAGCTAAAAATAGGATTATAATAAACTAGGTTTGTTGCTGTTGGTTCATATATGCATCAGTATTATTGTTTTTATATTAAGTACTATTTGAGAAATCAACACTGTTTGGATTGAATAATATGCACACACACATACATGATTGGCCCAAGTTTTCACAAGCAACAAGAGGTTTCAGTTTTGGGGGTGGCTGGTTTGAAACTCCTTAACTCATTCTGACTTTTAGAAAGTGCTGAGCATCAGTCCTCTGAGAAGCAGGCTCTTTTATGGAATCTCATGCTGTGCACTGAAAACCACTAGTCAATTCTGACAATCTTGGCCTGTGTCTACATCTATATCTAGATTTTAAAGGGCTTTGGAATTTTCTGACCAAGTGTCTTTTGGCAGAAAATGCAGTTTTCTGAAAATTTCAGTCTCACTGAATAGTTTTGATTTTTCCTGATGGAAAAATCTACTATGTATTTGAGAGAGTTTATGTGTTGGTCACCCATCTCTCTGAGTCTGTTCAAGAACTCCTAACTGATAAAAGGACCACAATATTGCCTTTTATCATAACTTAAAGCTGGCTGGTGGGGAGTGGAGCTGGCCCGGGCGCATGCAGATCCCAGGGTGCTGCCCGTCCCGTGCACAGTCCCGGCGGGGCGCGCAAGCAAATGCAGCCCTGGGGATCCCATCCCACCCCGCTCCTGCCCCCCTCCTCTCTACTGTGTAGTTGCGTACTGCCTGGCTGGTAGACATGCAGTGTGAGCGCATCTACCAGCCAGGCAGTACACAACTATGTACTGATACTCATGATAATAATAAAACTTGCTTACTTAGAAAATACTAGACATGTATATGTCCAATATTTTCTCAATTTATTTCCCGGACAGAAAGCTCAAATACCGAACTGTCTGGTTCAAAACCTAATTCAGTGACACCTGGCAACCCTACTAGGGAGTGAAAAACTTGTCTGATACCCGTTTACTGTACCTGACCATACAACAAGCAGCAGTTTCCAGTTAGTGGGTGACAGCTGCTAGCCATCAGGAATAATTCTCTGAATCTGAAAATAACATATTCTGTGTTAGTAAAGTCCCTGTTTTGTGTGCTTTGATTTTGAAAATAAGGATGGACTGAGTGTGAGTGAAGAGATAGAAAAATAAAGCATTACATTTGCTATCACCGAATGTTATGCAGCACAATCTAATGGGCTGTAGTCAAGATTTTTTTTCTTCCAGCCTGTAATGCATACATGCAAAATTAGGTACATTGTAGCTGGGATTTTCCATGCATGCATCCAGGATTGGCTGTTGTTTGGTAATATGGTAACTGACAAGATGGTCCTTGGATTTGTTCTTGTATGGAAAGTCCTGTTTTCCTGAGTTTCATTGCTTTCCAGAAGACAATGAAACAATACCTTCAAGATCCACTCCCAGCAATCATTTTTCAAATTATCATACTTGGTGACTATGTTCCATTTTCTGCTGACAGATGATTCTTTAAACAAAAAAAAAATCAAAGTTTTAATAAAGAAACATTAGACACTAAACACACACAAAATAGGGTAACACTCTAATTGCTATGTCTGACCAAAAAAAGTAGTGAAAAATATACTCTTAATTCTTTCCAGTAAAGACATCAAGTCTGATGACTTCTTACCACAGTCTCTTTCAGGAAATCTTTCCTATGGTCATGTGATTGATTCCTTTGCTGTGGGATCAGAGTTATCATCTGACTTTTGTGTTTTGCCTTTTTAACATTTAATCTAAATTATTCTTTTGTGAAATAAAAAAAGAAGCATTTGTTCCTTTTGAGAGAGATCATCTGGTTTGACTTTAAGGTGGGGGTAGCCCTTGGGAGGGGGAAGGGAAGGTATTTTCAGTCTGCCAAAATGGGTTTGAGAAAGCATGTATACCCAAACTATCCCCAGAATTCTGTTTGTGTGATTCAAAACACCTGGTCCAGGGCTCACACCTGGGTAAGGCACATGGAATCTGGCCTGGCCTTGTCCTTTTTTTCCCAACTCTGCAAATTAATTGAGAGTGTTTGCCCTCTGGTGACTGTTTGGGGCACACTGGTGAACAATGAATTGTGAACACAAGGATGTCAATAATGGCTATGATGAAGCATGAGCCTAAACACTGAACATTTTACTAGTATTACAAATAATTATTATTATTTACTTTTATAAAGTATTTAAAAAACTAGGTTGAAAATATATTACCTTGCTCTTTCTGGTGCATGGAATGGGGACAGAGAAGCAGCTCTGGATGCAAATAAAGCAGCTGTGGATGACTATTTCCTCCTACTCACGCATGTGTGGGTTGTACGCCATCTGGTCGCGGGGAGAGAGCTGTCATCATGATCCATCCTGTATTACTGTCTGAGTGCGAGTTGAAGGGGAAATCATATTCTGCCTCATTTGTGCAGTGGTAGTTGGGGCAAGGATCATAGACCAATTCCTTGTCGGGGAAAGGGCCAGGGCTGTGGCACTCCCACTCTTTTGCCAAAAGTGAGTTGTGATGAAGCTGTTTCTAGAATCTGAGCAATAAGACACTCTTCCACACCTAGGAGTGGAGCCCAACCTGAACAAAATTAATGGGAGCTTTATCATGCACATCAGTGGAAATAAGACAGAACAGCTAAGCCCAAGATAGGGGACCTTCCCACCTTCACTCCAGCCTGTGCCTGAGCCTGAAAGTCTACAATAAACAGCTTTGCAGGCCTTCCAGGTGTCTTGTTGCTGTGTAGACATACCCTAATGCCTCAGCATACCCCTGGTGTATGAACAGAGACCACCAGCAACGCTTTTGGTTATTAACAGATTCACCCTCAACCCTGTACTCCACTTGCTATGACACAAGGAGCTCAAATCTCACCAAGAGATGGGCTACCCAAATCCTTACCTTCCCACCCTGCACAGTGGAAGTGTTCTACTTCCATAGTGTTCAGGAGATTCTCCATCTCAGGAAAAGGACAGGTATTGTTCCTTAGAATGTACAGTACATAGGCTGTGCTCAGTCCTCCTCGTACAGAGATTTGGGGGTGTTCTGCTAAATACATTTTAGAGTTCATAAAGATTAGATTTCTCCAAAGGGGAAAACTCCCCAAACTAACTGTGGCACCTTAAATTGCACTTGCATTAGTAAATATACTAACGGGCTTCAGATAGAGTTTTCCAGAAGGTGTTGATGATGGGCGGTGTAACATCTAATGCAAAAATCAGGGGGTAGCCATGTTAGTCTGTATCCACAAAAACAATGAGAAGTCCTGTGGTACTTTGACTTAAACAGATTTATTTGGGCATAAGCTTTTGTGCACAAAGACTCACTACATCAAAGGCAGGCATAAATATACTACCATGTGAAAAGAAGGGAGTTGTCAAATGGAGGACCAGTGCTAATGAACACAATTCAGTCAGGGTGGATATAGCCCATGTGTGTGTTTTTGTGCAAGCATCCCTTCTTATAGCGGTTACTACTGCTATTGCAGTACCAAAGAGGAGTGTGTCTGTTCTGTCTGAGATTCACAGCAACTCTATGTAGATTGCAATGATTTTAGTTGCAAAATATGTTATTTGCTGGTCCTTTCATGAAGAGGAACCTGATAGCTCAAAGTAGCCAAAGTTATCAAACTACTGGGCCTGATTCTGCACTGTCTTACATTGGTTTAATTCTGGAATTGCTCCTTTGAGGTGTATGGCATTACAGTGGTATGAGATCTGAATTGTGCCCACTGGTTGCAAGAAGGCCTTTCCATTTCACTGTGTTCTTTAACGCCACAAAAAAAGTTTATCTCCTTCCCTAGTTCAAAAAAAAATGCACCTGGCACTTTTAAATGTACTAACCAGCCAAAACAAGGCAGCAATTCCTCTTCATAAGACAACAAAGGAAACTTGCAGAATCCATTTACCTATTCAGGAGGGTAGAGCTGTGATAGCTTATCCCTGCATTTTGTTCATGACAGCACACACAAACTTGCAGCTCTATTATTGACACGCTGAGCCTGATTGTTCCTCACTCACATGACACCCTTAGCTTCCACATTTCATGTTTTTGATTGATTGTGAGTGAGAGTAGAATCCAGCTGAATGGCCCCATGAAAAACTATTTGGATGTGTCTACGCTTCAGCTGGGAAAGGTGTCGCCTGATCCGGGTTGTTGTGGCTGTGTTAGTCCCAGGAAATTAGAGAGATAGCGTGACCAATGAAAGTTGCCCAACAAAAGATATTACCTCTCTCTTTTTGTCTCTTCCAATGTGGCTAGACACACACAGACTAGCTCTACATGATCTAGCATGCTAAAATAGCTGGGAGGATGTTGTGGCATGAGCAATAGCCTGGGGTTACTAATGTAGCTTTGGATCAGGCAGGCTTGGAGTCGGTCAGATGAGTCCAGAGCCACCAATGAAGGAGACAAAGAGGCAGCTGCCCTAGGGCCCGGCAATTTAAAAGGGCCCAAGGCTCAAGGCT